GGGGGGAAGGCTCATTACCTTAGGAATATTTGAGAAAGGAAGGAGAAAGAGAAAATCTCGTCAAGAGCCTGGACCTGTCCTCTTTAGCTTCTCTCTGCCCTTCAGAAAATAGAAAGCTCTTGCACATGTCACATCTGGCTGTCAAAAGCATATATAAAATGTGTTTTACACAATATGTACCTTCCTGGCTGGTGACGCATGGCTTGGCCCTGTTCTGCAGCACCAGGTCCACGATCTTTTGTAGGAGCTCGTCCACCTGGCACTGCTCCTCTGCCCCCGTCAGTCTGTAGTTGAAGGCGCTGTACCGGTCTTTGCATTTCTTAATGAGCTGGTAGAGAGCTTCATTATTGCTTTTCAAGAACATCTCTAGATCCTGGTCCCCTAGATCTTCCTTCCTGGTGAGGAGGACGATCATGTACTCAATGAATTTCTCTCCAAAAATGCTTCGGATGGTGTCCAGCACAGCCTCATCCGTCTTGGTGAAAGAGCCCAGCGGGGTCACCAGCAGGAAGGCATGGAGGCCTTGAGGGGCATGTCTCTGAAGCTCAGCTTTAATGTCCTTTGAAGATGCAATGTCCGGAGTATCAATGACCCAAATTTTCCTCCCTCTCCAGATTCTGCTCACAGACGCAAACATCTGGGTTACCGACTTTTCACTGAATTTGGTCTCAAAGACTCCCTTCCCCAGAAGGCTGTTCCCGGCAGCACTTTTTCCGGCTCCACGCTTCCCCACAAGCAGGATCCTCAGTTCCAACAACTCAGGGCTCGGTTCACACCCTGTGGCCTGCAGCTGCTTCTCCCCTGGCCCTGTGGGACAAAAGGGCAGATTAAGAGTATCTTCTTGAGGCCAAATATGGAGATGTGGACAGGTTTTATGATTTCTCCTCCTTGCCAGTTTTTACAGAGAATGGAAGTAATGCTCTGAACAGCAGGACTATAGTCCCGGGTCAGAAGTCACTCACTCATTCAAGTAAAAACCACAAAGGCGGGCACGAATAAGTTAGGAGATGTGTAGAAAGCTCAAGACCTCCCAGAAACATGAAAATCAGTTAAACTTGGCCTTTACAGGTCTTCATCCTTAGATTTCCTTTCATTTGCTACCGAAGTCCATGAAGTCCATGGGCTGAGGCAGGACAAGGGAGAATCTGAGTTTAAAATGCCCCTTGGTGGTATATTCATAAAATGTTAGACTACTCAGCAACCAAAAACAAAAACAAAACAAAAAAGAATGAATAAATGAACTATTGATATGCAACACGCATGGATCTTCTAAACATGCTAATGAAAGAAGCCGGACACGAAACCACATGCTATCTGATTCCACTATATGAAGTTCAAGAACAGACAAAATTAATCTATGTGGATAGAAATCTGGGTTGCAGTTCCCTTTGGGGAAAGGCAGCAGGAACTTAGGTAAGGTGACGGAAATGCTCAAGATCTTTATCTAGAGGATGGTCACTATGGGTAGATACGTAAAGTCACTGAGCTCTACACTTAAGATCTGTGCATTTCACTCTACGTTCATTATGCCTCAATACATGACTGTAGAAACTTGTACCACAAAACCGTCTCTGCACACGCGCCCTGTCCCCATCACTTCTCCTTGATCCAAGGTCAACACCAGACCTCCATGCTGAGCAAAGGGCAGAGTCAGCAATACAGAGAATATTCAGAGTTTGAGGCATCCTGGGCGCTAAGGGTATGGATTGCCACTTGGTGTCAGAGCCACCAAGTCTGGGAGGTGGAATGAACGCGGCATTTAAAGAAAGCCACTGAAATGCTAGTGACACCACGTCCTTGTTATGTTGCCTTGGGAACGCTCCTACTTTCTTCCAAATCACCTCATACAAGGCTACATCATATAAAAGGTCACTTCCAACTTTTTGAGCCACCCCGTGGCTACCCATGGTGTGCTATTTCCTCACCACCACGAGGCAAAATTTGGGGCCATAACAGGTAAGTTCCTTCAGGTCTTGACAGAAGGGCATCCGGAGAATTTTAAATCCCTACTTCTGCCTAAGCTCACATCTTTCTGGCTAAGTTTACTCATCTGTCAATGAGACTAATGATAATACCACCCTCTTCCTAGGGCTGTCATGAGGAATATACTTTAGGGTTGTTAAGAATATATGGTTGTTCTGAGAATTATATTTATACGCTAGGAGGATTGAATTATTTCTATATATTTTTCCACCACATAATGTCAACTGCAATTATTATCATTATTAAAATTGAAATAATAATAAAAGAATAATTATTTTATTTAATAAATAAAAATGCTATAGACATTCTAGTTAATTAAAATTCTTCTTCTTATTATTATTATTATTTTATTGTTATTATTTGGGGGAGTTCTATGGGGACAGAGATCTCACCTACTTTATTCATTGCTGAATATTCTGTGCTTGCACAGAGCTGGCCCAGAAATAACGTGAGAGTCCATCAATAAAGGGATAGTTGGAGGCGCCTGGGTGGCTCAGTCAGTTAAGCTTACAACTTCAGCTCAGGTCATGATCTCACAGTTCATGAGTTCGAGCCCCACATCGGGCTCTGTGCTGATGGTGCAGAGACTGCTTGGGATTCTCTTTCCCTCTCTCTGCCCCTTCTGTGCTCTCTTACTCTCTCTCTCTCTCTCTCTCTCTCTCTCTCTCTCTCTCAGAATAAATTAGTAAACTTAAAAAAAATTTTGTAAAGCCTGATTTAAAAAAAATAATAAAAAAAAAGGAAGGAAAGAAGGAAGGGAGGAAGGAAGGGATGGTTGAATTAGGCGTGTACGCCCTTACCGTGAACAAAACTGTATCTACTAAACAGAGTGAGGTAGATCTATATGTATCAAGTTGTGCAGTGTGCAGAATGAATCGTTAATGGCAATCATTACATGGATACTGAACTCCATTACAGAATCCTATAACTTAGTGCTCCCCAAGAAGGTAATTTCTGCTTTCCCAGTAGGAGTCAACATTGTATAGTCTTGGACCCAGGGCCAGGAAGACAAGGCTGAGTCACAAAAAAAAGCCACAAAAGACCAGCCCACCTCCACAACATTTCAGAGAAAGCCAGGGACACCCACTCCATGTCCACCACCTTTGCTGCTACCATACCTACTCCCAAGTGTTAGGAGTTTCCTGGGGGACAGGTTGTGGACACCAACCTGAGCAAGGTCCCCAGAGCGCACCTTTGTTTCTAATTATCTATTTTTTCCACTTCATTTTGATGCATAATGCATTCAAAAGAATATAGATATGAGCTTATCTTTTTTTTAATTTTTAAGTTTTTATTTATTTACTCATTTTGAGAGAGCACGAGCAGGGTTGGGGGACACAGAGAGAGGAAGAATCCCAAGCAGGATCCACACTATCACCACAGAGCCAGATGCAGGGCTCAAACTCACAAGCTGTGAGATCATGATCTGAGTCGAAATAAAGAGCTGGATGCCCAATCAACCACCCAGGCACCCCTGAGCTTAACATTTTTAAGGATCATCTTACCATGTGGATTGTCCCCCTTCTGAGATGTGGCTTCATTCACATGATCCTAGAAAATAAAGGGGGAAATGATGCTCAGAGACCCAAAATCTCATCTTTTCACAAAGCAAAGAAATGGAGACACAAGTATATAATTCAGAGTAATTTGATGATTGGGATGTGGTCAAATTCAGGCCGTGGTCCTATTCCTTGTTGGCTTCTGTAGACCCATCCATAATGACAGTCGATCCTGAAACCCCATTGTTGCCACCACAACAGGCTTCCCAGAAATATGAAGATGGGTCTTGTTCTCACTCAGGTGAGTCCCACAAATGCCGTCTAACCAAGGTATTTGTCCTGAAGCTCTAACTTTCCTTCTCCCCAGTCCCCAGTGGTAATAGCAATCCCTTCCAAAGTCTTCCAGAGTTTTTTCTGTTCCTGGAGAAAATCCAGAGGCTTAAAGACAGCTTCTGGATTCCCCAGAAGAAGAAACTAGCCCAGTGATGTTTGTGATGTGCATCTGAGGGACCAGGGGAAGGGAGGAGATTGGGAGTCACGCTCCCCACACATCTCCGGTGCCTTCTCCCTGCACCACACCCCCGGTACAGAGATGATCCTTCTTCTGACGTGAGAGCCAGGAAAATTTGGAACCTTCTCCATCCAGGTGGGCAAATGGAGACAACAGAGGATGGAAGGCCAAACACACAGTTGGTATTCCCTTCCCCTGCCTGGCCAAGCCATACAGTCGCACCCCAAACTTAAATTGTCATGAAATCAAAAGAGAAGGTGAAAACAGTGATACACAATGTGGATGAATCTGCTATTCTTACAAACTCCCAATACTTTATTTTAACCTTATCTTTGTTAAATTTCCATGCTAGCCAAGGAAATTTTCCCTCTGCTTTCTTACTTGGCCTTACCCCAAACCATTGATACCTTCCACCATCTCCCTCCCTGGGTCTTCTCCATTCAGCTCTGATTATCACACTTCTTTCTTCTTACCTGGCACAACTCAAGGTCTTTCATGTTCTTTAAATGGAAAACATTTTTACAATGCAAATGTGTATGATCTAAAAATTAGTAATGTTTTTAATGTTTATTTATTCTTGAGAGAGACAGAGCACAAGCAGGGGAGGGGCAGAGAGAGAGGGAGACACAGAATCCTATGCAGGCTCCAGGCTCCGAGCTGTGAGCACAGAGCATGACGCGGGGCTCGGACCCACAATCCATGAGATCACGACGTGAGCCAACTAACCCACCCAGATGCCCCTAAAAATTACTAATTTTTAAATTCCCAATCCACTACCAAAGGAACAATAGCTAATTCACATACATCCTTCTATGTTTTTCTAAGTTTATACAAACACACACAAGCATATATGAACACATTGGGAGAACTTGGCTAGGTTTCAATCTGCTTAATACTATGTCCTGTACATCTGTACAAATCAGTACATATCGATCAACCCAATTTTTCTAGAAGATGCTATTTACTCCACAGCCTGGATATGGAAAATTCCATACTAATGTAACGATTCCTGTATTTTTTTTTTAAGATTTTATTTTAAGTAATCTCTACACCCAACATGGGGCTTGAACTTAACAATCTCGAGATGAGGAGTCATATGCTCTACTGACCGAGCCAAATGATTCCTTTATTGATAGATCATAAGCTTATTTCTGGATTTACTATTTGAAAAGATACAATGATAAATATCCTTATATATACATCTTTATATGTGCAAATGTTTTCCTTTCTTGGTAACAGGGTCCTAAAAGTGGGAATCTTGCTCAGTCTCTGGGTTGTTAAAGTCCTTAATGTCTCCATAACTTACGTGAAACTTATACACGTCCATGATAATAACAGTAATAATAATGGCAACTATGGAGCGCCTGGGTGACTCAGTCAGTTGGGCGTCTGACTTAGGCTCAGGTCATAATCTCATGGTTCATGGGTTTGAGGCCCATGTCGGGCTCTGTGCTGACAGCTTCAGATTCTGTCTCCATCTCTCTCTGCCCCTTCCCTGTTTGTGCTCTCTCTCTCTCTCTCAAGAATAAACATTAAAAAATTAAATAATAGTAATAATAATGGCAGCTAATAATTACTGAATGCTTGCATTTCAAGTATTTGCAAATAACTTTGTCAGCATTTCATTAAACCCTGAGATACAGAGTATTATCCCTTTTTACACAAGACAGAAAAATAAGATACTGTGGTCAACAAAAAGGATAGGAGTTCCGTCCCTCAGGGAGTCTGTGGGGAGGCAGCCATTGAAAGCACATACACAGCAACCACTTGACTGGCTGATGGCCATGAGGAGGAGAAGCGCCCTGAGGGAAGGGGGGCTGTAGGAGCTCATCCCAGGGGCCCACAGGGAAGACTCTCTGAGCAAAGGAGCTCTAGCAGAGGCAGACCTGGAACGGGGTGGGATGGGAGAGGGGAAGTATCCAGGTGGAGAAAATTCCAAGTTCAAAGCTCTAGAGCACACATGAGTATAAGTCAAGGACCCCACAGGGAAGACCGGTGGGACCAACACATAAAGAGCAAGTTAGAGGGTGAGGGACCAGCTCAGGTCAGGGATTCCAAACTTGATCTGAAGATCAACGTACAGTCACTGCAGAATTTTACACAACAGGGGGTTGTGTTCAGGGTACACTGTGGACAGTTCATTCTGTGCCCCTTATCCTCTCTGCTGGCATCCCTGTTCCATACAGCCTTCAGGGGAGAGACAGAGGCTATAAAGGAGAGAGAGAGGGAGGTCAGGGCTAGGAGATAAGAGAGTGACAAGTTCTCCCGAGCCTCAGGGTCCTCGTCGTACATTGAGTAGGTGTGAAGATTTGATCAGTCTGGGGGTCTGGGACTTAGCAGGTGCTCAGTAAATATTGCCTTCCTTCTCATTTCCATCCTGTTTCGGTTTAACACTCACCAGTTCTCAGAAGATTCACTCTGACCAAAACTGCCCCCACGTTGGATTTTTGCTTTGCTTTACATCCATGGACACTTGGCATTTAAAGACTCCTCTGTACCAACATTCACTTACTCACACTGAATCAGGAACTGCTTCGTGTCTTATGCATGAGTCACTCAAACAGAAGCGTGAGGTCCTCGAAAACAAAACCCTGGATTTTTGTATCTTCCTTCATTACAAATATATTTTCCACTCAAGTCTAGAAATTAAATAAAATACCACTCTGGCTGTCGTGTAGAAAATAGATTGAGGGGTAAGGCACAAGAACGAATGAGGGGAAGGTTGTTTGTAAAACAGTACAGGCAAGAACGGAAGCTGGCTTGGAGCAGAGGGGGGGGGGGGGCAGTGGAGATGGACAGAAATGCATGGATTCCAGGCACACCGATCACACAAGACCTAAGGTCTTCTCAAATATCAGCTGCCAGCTAGTAGTAGCAAAGCCGACCTCTGGGTTTAGGTTCAAGGAGCATCAGGAGCATCACCACCATTTACCCAGTTGAGAGAAAACTGAAGTCTCATACATCTCAGAGGGAAAACCAAAAGTGTAACCTTGTGAAGCCTGAGATCCCATAGGAGAGCCAAGTGGAGACATCAGACGACAACTGGATAAGGGAGCAGGATTCAGAGGAGAGGCCTGGACAGGAGTGACAAATCTGGAAACCATTAGCGATCAACGGAGCTCAAAGCTGGAGGGCAGAGAATTGAGGAAAGCCTAGAACCACACCCTGAAGATCTCAACTTTTAGAGGCCATGTGAAGAGAACTCAACAATCTCCAGAGGAGCCAGAAAGAGTAGGAGGAAAAAAACCAAAACGAGTATAGCTGTATTGAAGCCAAGGGAAGAAAGGGTCTATTTGTGTGTCTAATACTGTGAGGGAAAAACTTAAGTAAGGACTTAACTGTATCCATTAATTTGCCAATAAATTTCAAAGTCCAAAGGGTAATCCTCAAAGCAACCTACCATCTGGTGCCTCATCTTTCCAGATCATAGATAAACACCTCCTAAACAAAGCCTAGGTTCCACCACACAATGTGACAGGTCACTTATCCATGCTTGTCTTCAACCCACTAGCTCTCACCACAAAGATCCTTGAGAACCTTCAGCATTTCTTACCAGGAATCCACTGCCTTCATTTCTGAGATTCACGACATATGGTCTTCCGTTTTCATCCACCAAACGCTGGACCATGCAGAGGAGCTCTCTCACCTGGACATCCCGCTCATCTTCACTTGCCTTGTTGTTAAAAGCGCAGTATCGGCCTCCACAGTTTTCAACCAACTCCCTAAGGGAGTTCTCATCTTCAATGCAATCCTTCAGTGAGTCATTCTCCAAATCATCCTTCCGAGTGAAGACAATAATGATGTGCCTCCTGGAGTTAGCTCCAAACACCTCCTGGATCCCCTTGACTGTCTCTATGTCCTCGACCTTATAAAAGCTGATGGGGATTACCAGAAGCAGGACGTGGAGGCTGGGAGCAGAGAGCTCGAGGCAGTGTTCAATGTTACGTTGCTTGTCTTTGGCACAAGACTTTGAGGAGAAAAGGTCAGGGGTGTCAATGACCACAACCCTTCTCTCTTTTGTGAACCCACTCTCTCTCTGGCATGTTTTAGTCACCATCTGGTCACTGAATTTGGACACGAATGCAGCTTTGCCCAGAATAGTGTTTCCTGTGGCACTTTTTCCTGCACCACTTTTGCCTAAGAGGAGAAGCCTCAGTTCCGGCATGGAGCACTCTGGCTCCAGTTTCCTCTCCTGACACAGGCTCTGGTTGGTTCTGCTGGGACAAAAAGCAACACATCAGTGTTCAACCCATGCAAGAGTGGATAGAGGAGCAGCAAGAAAAAATGCCTTCTTTTTGGTTTTTCCCAAAGGATGTGGCCTACTGAAGTCAACTCAGACTAGATTGGGATAAGAACTCCTGTTTCCCACAATCTTCTCTGTGCTCTTGTCTCTGAAATAAATCCACACTGGTAAGATGCCCAGCACTGTAGGGGCACCTGAGTAGCTCGATCAGTTGTGGCCAATGCTTGATCTCAGCTCAGGTCATGATCTCACGGTTTGTGGGATCGAGCCCCACATGGGGTTCTGCGAGGACAGCACAGAGCCTGCTTGGGATTCTCTTCTCTCTCTCTCTCTCTCTCTCTCTCTCTCTCTCTGCCCCTCCCTTGCTCGCTTGCTCTTGTTCTCTCTCTCTCTCTCAAAATAAATAAACACTTAAAAAAAAGACATTCAACACTGTTGACTGACTAAACCAACAACCCCCTTCTCTGTATTCATCACCCATTATACATGCTGGGGGAAACTGTGATAGACAGAATAATGCCCCCCCCCACCACCACCAGATGTCCATGTGCTAATCCCTGGAATCTGTGATTGTGTTATTTTACATGGCAAAAGGGACGTTGCCAATGTGATTAAGGCTCTTGAGACGGAGAGATAAGAGGATCCTAGAGGATCATCCAGGTGGCTCCAATATAATCACACTAAAAGAGGTCCTTCCAAGAGGAAGATAGGCAAGTCAGAATAAGAAAAAGGAGATGTGAGGACAAAAGCAGAGGTCAGAGAGTGAGAAAGATTTGAAAATGCTACACGATTGGTTTTAAAAATGGAATAAGGAGCCACCAGCCAAAGGCAATGCAGGCAGCTTCTAGAACCTGGGAAAGGCAAGGAAATGGCTTCTGCCACACAGCCTCCTCCAGAAGAATCCTGCCCAACACTAATTGTAGGACTTCTGACCTCCAGACTGTAAAATAATAGCTTGGTGGGTTTTTAGCAACTAACTTTGTGGCAATTTGTTACAGCGGCAACAGGAAATTAATACGTTCTCTCTCCCAGCTTCCTTTCGACCAGGGGTGGCCATGTGACCCAGTTCAACCTGATGACAATTGAGGGAATATTTGCCTGGGCCTTTTAGGAATGTTATTGTTTTCTTGATGATAGAGGCAGACTCAAGTAGAGAGCTCCTGTTCTCACCTCTTCCCCCTTCTTCTTTTTATTTTTTCTTTTTATTTTTTTTTAAGTTTTTTAAAGCTTATTTATTTGTGAGAAAGACAGAGCATGAATGGGGGAGGGGCAGAGACAGAGAGAGACACTGAATCTCAAATAGGGTCCAGGCTCTGAGCTGTCAGCAGAGCTTGAACTCGGGAACAGTGAGATCATGACCTGAGCTGAAGTCGGACTGATGCTTAACCAACTGAGCCACCCAGGCGCCCCTCCTCCCCCTTCTTCTTCTTTGACATTTAAATGTGACATCTGGAATGGCAGCAGATATCATGAGGCAATGAGGTAACAAATAAGAGAACAAATGTTGCTGAAGGACCCCAGAGCAGAAAGATAAAAGGATCCCCGATGACATCACTGGGCTACCAAAACATCCTTGAGACTGCCCTTTTGCTAAGTAAACAGCTGATATTCTCATGATTTAAGCTGCTGCTACTCAGAGTGTGGTTCACGAACAAGCGATATTGCCAATAACTGAGATCATGTTAGAAATACAACATCTCAGCCCCACGCCAGACTTGCTGAATGAGAATTCTTCATTTGACAAGTTCCAGGTGATTCTCATGAGCATTCAAGTTTGAGAAGCACTGGTGTTAAGCCACCATTGGTTAAAGATTAGCATTCCTAACTGAATCAGAAACCACTGGAAGAGCCAAGTTTCCCAGCACTATTTCCTTTTTTTTTTTTTTTTTTTATGTTTATTCATTTTTGAGCTAGAGAGACAGAGAACATAACTGGGTGAAGGGCAGAGAGAGAGAGAGGGAGACACAGAACTTGAAGCAGGCTCCAGGCTCTGAGCTGTCAGCACAGAGCCCGATGCAGGGCTCAAACCCACAAACTGCGAGATCATGCCCTGAACCGAAGTCGGACGCTCAGCCGACTGAGTCACCCAGGTGCCCCTCCCAGAACTATTTCTTGAACAGTCTATCCTTTTCCAAATGATTCTGTCAGATACCAGGGGCCCATGTTTCCATGAGTCTTTCCCTAGGTTGTCTGTTTTGTCCACTGGACACTCAATCTATTCTTGAACCAGAAAGCCTTAATTACTAAAACCAAGATGACTTAATGTTATTCTACTAAAAATATAACTCTAAAATGAGGCTTCATCATGTAATGGAGCAGGTTCCAACACCTTGCTATTGTGCAAAACTGTCACGGTATTCTTGGCTTTTTAATCCCCTGTAGAACTTTGAAAATCAGTTGTCATTGTCTTCAGGAAACCCTGTTGAAATCTAGAGTGTCGTTGCATTGAATTTGTAGCTTACTTTTATTTTTTTATTATTTATTTATTTTGAGAGAGAGACAGAGAGAGAGCACATGCACAAATCACAAGGGGGCAGAGACAGAGGAGAGAGAGAATCCCAACATGGGACTCGATCTCACAGACTGTGAGATCATGACCTGAGCTGAGGTCAAGAGTGGGAGGCTCAACCGATGGAGCTACCCAGGCGTCCCTGCAGCTTAGTTTTAGAAGAATGGACATCCGCATAGAGCTGTTCTCCCCACTCCTTTTTTAAGTCAGTTTTAAATATGTTCTAATTTCAATCATTTCTTTTTGATCCATAAATTAAGAGAAGTAATTACAAAATTTAAAAATGAGCGGCACCTTGATGGCTCATTTGGTTGAGTGTCCGACTTTGGCTCAGGTCAGGATCTCACAGTTCGAGCCCCACTTAGTTGAAGTGTCAGCTGGGGTCAAGCCTTTCATGGTTTTTCCAGACTGAACTGATCATCAACTCTTCTCTGGACTTCTGCAATAACAGAATCACTGATTCCCCCTGCTTCTACCCTTCTAGAGGCTATGGTCTGTAGACAGTCAGTGTGCTCCTGCACAAACAGGAGACAGATAATGTCATTCATCAGTCCAAAGTCCCCCCGTGGCTTCCCCCTGACTTGAAATAACAAGCAAAGCCTTTACAGTGGTCAACAAGACCCTACCCATCTGGACTCTAGCTGTCTCTCTGATCTCATCTCCCACCCTTCTCCACCTTGTTTTGTCTCCTGTAGTCACATGGACCTCCCTGCTGTTCCCCAAATGTGCAACCTTGGGCCTTGGTGCTGGTCGTTCACCTGAGCTAGAACACTCTTCCCCCGGACTCGTGCAAGGCGCATTCACCTCCTTTAGATCTTTACCGCATTGGCCCTGTGGGACAGATGGCCTTCTTCAGTCATCCTACATTTAACAGCAATCTGCCCTACTGCATCCCAACAGCATTCTGCTTCCCCCACATGCCTGTTCTGTACGCCCCCAGCAACCACTGCAACCACCTTTCACATTGTGCATTTACTTGCTTATTGCTTTCTTTTGTCTCCCCACGGCTAAGAGGTAAGTCCCATGAGAAGGAGGACCTGCTTTATCTTGTTCACTATCGCATCTATGACCCAGAGAAGGCATTCGATAAGCACCAGCTGATAGTATTTACTTCATCTAACTTTGAAATTCTCTCTACCACCCTTGGTATGAAACTCTGTAAGAGCAGAGACCATGCCTGTCTTGTCCTATGTCCCTAGTCGCTGATACTGTGCCTGGTGTATAGTATAGGCTTAATAAGGGGTGTTAAATGAATGATCATGGGGTAAAGGGGTGAGGAAAGGAAGAAAAACAGTTTTTAGAAATGAAGAGAGTGACTGAAGTGATGCCACTTTGAATTAAAAAAAAGAGAAGTAACTTCACACTGTATCCCAAGCCAATGAAGTGATATTTTTTGGTACATTAATTTTTTTTAAAAAAAAGACACTAGTGGGCAAATAGCTGAAGGAAGCAGAGACCTCCAGCAGGTCTGAAGAAGAAAGGAATTGATTTCCCAAGTAAGCTCCACTGCTCACATGATTACCCATCATAGTGTGTGTAAATTAATGAGCCTTTGCTAAACTGTGTGTTATATTGAATCAGGGACCCACCCAACCTACGCCCTCGCCTTGCGAACTTTTCTCTGGAGCAGAGGGGGTGCCTAGGTGGCTCAGTGGTTGAGCGGCTGACTTTGGCTCAGGTCATGATCTCAAGGTTCATGGGTTGGACCCCCATGTGGGGCTTTCACTGACAGCGCTAAGCCTGCTTCGGATTCTGTCTCCATCTCTCTCTCTCTCTCTCTCTCTCT